CTGCCATCAAGCCTTGAAGGAGTCTTCCAGTAATTTCTCGAGGACTTCTTCCTCCAAGTGCACTCAGCAGTCTCTTCTATATTGAAAAAATGAAGAAAACAGTCAGTCATTACAAACAAATAAGCAAAAAATTATTCATTGATGTTCACAGGACAAAACTACAATTAGCTTCATATGTAGTGAAAACTAATTAGGTCCACATGGTGACCCATGACCCATGCGGTCAAGTTACACTAAGCTCCAACTGTCTTTCTTCCTAATGCCAGGCCAAGGGCATTCTGACACACAAGGGTCAACCCAAAATTTCTTGGACTTTCCATTAGAAGACCAATATGCAAAATTAACTTTTAATTTGTACTAACCTTCTGGATGGAAACACCCTTCAAGAAAATCTAAAATAATCAGAACCCCATTATCTCTGCAAGTCATCTGGCAGGACATATATTGAGCTTCTCTTTAAGGTCACAGGTTGCTACAGAGCTTGACACAGAGGGGAATCTTTGTTAAAGAAAATAGTCAAATAGCACTCTGAGCAAGGACTCATCATTGAATTTGATGAGGTAGCATTTTACAACCAAGATCACAAAAGTTAAAATGATGACTAGATGGTTTGCTGAAGGACAGTAGAATACGGTGGGTTGTTTATAGAAATACAATGTTTAGAGATAGTTTGAATCCGGAACAAATTAAAAGTTGCTATTTATTGCATGCATACCTTCACAACTGAAAATCTATTACTTCTTGGAATCCTTCCCTATGTAATGAAGAGGCAACTATCAATAGGAGCTCCAGATCTAAACATGAATATGAGAAACACCCAGATGCAACTAATGATGAACTTCTTTCCTCAAGTATGCAGGAATATAAGCACAAGACAAAAGAAATTGAAAAGTTGACTATACATGTCTAACCAGTTTGTTTTTGATACTGTAAATTTATTAAACTTCTGTATAATAATTTAAAATTTGATATATAAAGGAACTGTCCACATAAGTATTCTTTTTGACAGGGAAATGATTTCAGAATATCAATGCCCCGTTGATGCTTAGCAACCTTAGCAAAATAAAACAGGTGAAAAGTAAAATTACTAACAATTACTGCCCACTGTGAGAATGCATGCATGAAAATTACTTTAGCCTGAGATGCAGAGTAGATTTAGCAAATTCATCTGGTCTATATTTTAAATGGAGACTCCTCCAGTAATGCAATACAAAAATACAGTATGTAGTAACATTAAAATTACATCACTTTCTAGATATAATTCTCAGGCCTGGATAGAGGCATCACTAGATGTGTGCAGCCCACCATTTGTTCTCTATCATCTTGATCAGAAAGACACAGCTCCAGTTTCTCCAACCCCTCCTCATCCAATACAGGGAGCTGTGGACAGCTGAATGGAGGCTCAGTATGAGATCCAAAATCAAATGGCTTTTTCTCAATGACTTCAAGAAGGGATTTCAGGAGCTTATGATTCTCTCTTGTAGTCTCATGAATGTGGACAATCAATTTGATCAGTGGCTCTGGTAAGCCTGCAATGAAGCAGACAGCAAAATGAAAAGTATAGCTCTGTACAGAGAACATTTCTGTATATTTCTGTACAGATCACAATGTCAATTGTACAACAGGGTCTGGAGGGCTTGGAAGTTTCAGATGTGTTGCCTTCTAAGTAGCCTCATCTAAGATGTGTATATATTTTTCATGCCCTCTTTCTACTCGACTATAGTGATGAAGGTCTAATAGTAAGTTTATTGCAAATGTTATTCACAGTAAAACTGAAAACTTTACCAGGGGCCACAGTCTTACCTGCACTCTTAGGAGAATGTCTCATGAGAGGCAATGAGCCTCCAGCAGAAGATCGAGCAAAAGGATGACCTTGAGACATGGAAGATGAGGCAGCCTTTGAGCTTGAGAAGACTGAATACCTCACATCAGCATCAACTGAGGGCCCTCTACTTGATCTAGGCATTCTAAAATATATAAGTATCAGTACTATAGTGTTCTTTGTTATGCCTAGGAATACACACCATTTATGTAACACTTCTTAGACTAGAAAAGTGGGCACACTGTCATATTGTGGCCATTGTACCATAACATGGAATGATCAGCAAGGCCCATTATCATGAGCAAAGTGACATTTAACTGGGGCTAGCACACATCTTACATTAGCTTCAAAAGCTTTAAGTGATCATACTTATCAAGATATTGAATACAACCTGGCAAAAGCTACAGTCATGGTTTCCCAGAGAGGATGGGAGATCCTTTCAACTGCAGGAAAAACGCTGGCTAATACAACACCATTCATTGATTCTGATTGGCAATTTCACTAAAACAAAACATACAGTGCTGAAGAATGCAGATCAGAGTCCACAGCAGCAAGGATGTCCTCACTTGAACCAGCAGTACTAGAACCAGAGCTAGCACTTTGCCTTGTCTTCAACTTCTTGCTATGCAATGGAGCAACTTCACTAGTACCTTCATGAGCTTTCCTCCTTTGCTGGGACCTCTGCCTCTCCACTCTCATCATGTGTTTTGTGGATTTTACTTTTAGACCTCTATGATCAAAGGAATAATCATCCATGGAATTATTCTTTGGTATTCAGGTACACAATGAGCAGCCGCTGTTGCAGCAAAGACACTTCCAAAAAAAATACTCCAGGCAAAGACATCACTGAATTGTTCAGTGTGCAGCAAAGGAATGGCCAGAAGCCAAGCCCCTATGAAGGGCAACAGCACAGTTTTCTGAAGAATATCCTCTTTGTGCACAGTAATATACACTCAAGTCTTTGACTTTGGAAATTCCCAAGTCAAATGAAAGACAAGGAAAATACTTGAGGCCTGCATAATGCTGGAAACACCTCCCAATTATTGACAGATTCTTTCCATCATGAGAATTCCACAAGGAACTTAACTTTCATAACTTGGCCATTTACCAAGATTGTAGCATTGTCTGGACTGGATGTTCTAATTGTGATGGAACCAAATTTGACTGCTCTAAATTTTCGTCCNCCTTCGTGTTTCACTTATTCATTGATTACACCATCCTGTTGAATGAATTCAGTGGCTCTTAGTAGCATTTAAAATGGCATCCATGTACGCTTTAGCCCTACCAAGTTATTATTGCTAACATTTTTGATACCATCTCCTTTCCTGACAGAGGAAAGCTCCATGCTCCATACAGAGAGAGAAATTAAGCGCTCCGAAGTGAACAGGCTATTTATGTCAATTCCAATGGAAGGGTTTGGCATAATTATCAATGGAAAGGAGCTACTTCCATCTGAGGCCATCAGCAAGAGTGATGTGCATGTTTAATATGACAAGAATTAAGCCAAAGATTGCTTAAAATGGGTACAAAGGCCTACTTTAGGCTGTAGCAACCACTTGCTACACACTAATGCCCCTTGATGTATACTAGGCCACAGCAATGATAAATCACAATTGTAACTAACCTCAAGGTAGACTCATCATATGTCAACACCACCTCAGTTCAGACAAAGGCCAAGTATCGCTAAAGGGTCCCTAGGCTTACCTGATTCCTACACCTACTCCTTGCTGATTGAATATTGGTTGCATCATAATAAGTTATAACTTCTTATGCTTCCTATATTCCTTGTTACGCTTTCTTATATGAAAACGTAACTTAATACAAATCAAGCCTTTAATGCCTGAGCACTTATGAATCACCATGTTGTTTTGCCTATGTGGGGGAATTTTCATGGTAGGTCAACTGACCAGAAGGGGATGCAGGGAAAGGGGAGGCGCACAAGGTACTTGCGGACCCCTTCCTCAGCAGAAGTCGACTGGTCTAATTTCGAATTAATGATTAAGTTTACGCCCAGAATTAAAATATTAGGCCTGTAAAAAGTCTTGTTTCTCTTACGTTTCCACTTTACCCATAATAAAAAATATAAATGTCTTCATATTGAGGCTCTTCCTCTGCAGGGCACTTATTCAGCCACAACTTAAAGAGTAAGAGAAGAGAAGTGAAAGGAATTAACAGGTCAGAGGGCTACGAGGACACTTCTGCCATGATACAAATGGTAAAAATCCTTGCCCTAGGGAAATTTAGCCGTTGCACTCCGTGGCACTTCACGAAGGTTTGGAGTTGAAACAAAAGGGAGGATAAGCAAAGCTATAACTGAAGGAAAGTTACGAGGTTTTCGGGATTAAATGCAACAAACAGCGACGGAAGTAACCAGGCCCTCTCGCGGCCTTGCTCTGTCACTTGAAGGATTTCGCAGCTCATGGCGCGGATTCCGCCATCTATCGTGTCCAGTTTCCTTGTTTGTCATTGGCTTCATACAGTGCTTTCGCGATGCGGTCGTCTCCACAAATATATTCCCAAAAATTGTAATCTACTATGTATTTTCCTCCCTATTTTCCCCTTATTTTTATTTATTATTATTATTAATTACTTAGTTCTTATCATTCGTGTATTATTTGAATCCGAATGTCCGTCAATCTGTACATGGTGTTCAAGAGGGTGTACTGGTTGAATATAAAACAGATGAAAGTCCAGTGAGATTTTCTTTGGCAGAGTGCAGGGAGGTCCGAGGGGT